CCCCATCCCCCCCCCCCCCCACATTTATGCACATGCAACCCAGGAACCCACAGGCAATGACTAGTTTTCAGTTATTTCTCATGTTCCAGGGCACGGTCTTACCACAGAAACGTTTGGGAATATGTCCAGCAGCAATTGGCCTCTTTACGGAGGCAGAAGGGAAAGCAATTACCTCGTGTTTTGTCATCTTTGAAGTGGAGCTGGAGCAGTTTGTTCACGGTCTCCTGCACAGAAAGGGACTCAGTCAAGAAGTGTTAATGGAGAAAAAGTGAATCTCTTTATCTTTCCATTTCAAAAAGCTACTCAATAAGTGAAGTAATATATTTTAGATCAGCTTCTGTTGGCATAGGAATACATCAAAAGAAACTGACCAAATATATTACCAAGTTCACATCTCATTCTCTGAGAGCAAGAGGGAAACAGCTACTAAAGCCAATCTTCCATACCTACACAGACACCATATGAAGATCCCATCATCTACCTTTCTCCTTCCTGCTGCTTTGGGCCAAACTCTTAGCAATACACCTTCCAGCCTACTAGCCATCTCACCTGTGACAGTTACATCTTTAGATGAACACTATTCCTTGGTTTTATTTATTCCTTTATTCTAGGTTTTCTGGAAATGGTAGAATGTTAGGCTTCTTCCCACATTCCTACCAACAGTATGGGGGAGGGTTAAAAAAAGGGGGGAGTTTCTTTTATTTCAGTAAGTAGGAAAGTTTTTAGAGGAGAATAGTGCTCAATGTAGTCAAATATCACATAACCAACATCTTAGTATATACACATTGGGGGGAAAAAAACCCATGTAGTTTAAAAGCAAAACAAACCACCTTAATCTTTTCTATTCTTACTAGAACAAACAAGAACACAGCTTCAAAAAATAGTGTGATATATTAATTATTGATATTCCCTAACTAATGTTTACATTTACTGATATGCCAGTTGAACTGGCTGTAACTCACTGGGACCAACTGCCATCTTGTTTGTCATCTTCAAGAGCTGCCTCCCATTAAAGGAGCATTTGTCCCAACTTCACAAGCTACTGGACTTCATGCGTTTTTGTAGTGTCTAAAAATCATCTAAGTACCTAACACAGTAAATCTGTACATCTACTAGAAGTAAATCTCACTGAATTCAATGAGGCTTTCTCTTGGATAAGGGGATATAAAAGTACAGCTACCCCGGGTTTCCAAATTTCACAGCCATTCTTTTGTGTTAATGTAATGGAATGTGAGAATGACCTTGGAAGGGGAGAGGGGGAGAGATGCTGCCTAGGGAATGATCTGATAAAAGGGGGAGGAGCCCCCAACTGAGTAATGGACAGAGAAAGAAATTTAGAAAGAACCCTCCCTAACCGATCAGGCAGTAAATAGGGATGGCCGGAGATTTGTACTTTCAGACTTGCAAGATTCTGTTGATATAACCTGTCAATAAAGTAGAAGTAGCTCATCTGGTCATGTTTCCTGTCTGGTTTACCTGGGAGGGCTGACAGTTAAAACCCATACTATTTCTGAATTTTGAGATCTGCACCGATAAATTACTAATAAATCTGGAAAGTTAGGGTCCATGTGATAAACTTGTTTTAGAGTGTGTTTTTTAAGCAATACAATAATACCAAAGTCAGTGCATCAAAACTGACAAGTTCTAGCAGTTCTACATAACCTAAAGTTATATATCAATACAGTAACTTCTGATAAAAGAAACAAATGTACAAGAAAAAGAAAGTGATGGAGAAGAACTAGGTATTAAAGTGAAATAACATTTATATATTATGACTCCTTTGGAAAATGTGTTGATTTATATTTAATAAGATAAGCTGCATTTTTGTTCTAAAACTGAATAGTGAAAGGTGAGCCAGAACATTACAGTTTAGTAATTGTAGTTCTAGCAACTGAACAAACAGGTGTAAGAATCTGTGTGATATATAGCAACTATTTTAAACAGAAATACAATAGTGTTGATACTAAAAGTGCTACATGTGAAGGATATGAATTATCCCATTAATTAAGTACCTTTACTCTGTTCACTGTTTAATCAAACCTCACCCAAAGAACTCTTGTTTAGAAGATCAACACACTGATGGAAATAATTCCATGAATTGGACTTCTGGGGAAGAAATGGCTAACTAAAGACAGCTCCGCAAAAAGTGGAGCCAATGACTGCAGTGGAATGAAGAGCTGGCAAGCTCTTTGTAATTCCTCTCCGGACATGGAGAAGACTTGAGACCGCCTACAAGTGCTCCAGACAGCTTCTCACAAGGAGACTGCAAGACAGCAGTTTCTGGCAGGTTTAGCGATCTGGGAGATGAGGGAATAGCCATCTTGCTCAAACCGCTGGCTTTGCATACTTCCTCTTCCAATCACTTTTGGAAATTGCTTAACTGCTTTTCAGCTAGTAGGAACCTTTGGATTGACAAGTTTTATAGCACCAGGTAAGTTTCCTTCAATTTTTAGTGAAAGAAGTTTTAATTACAAGTTTAAGAACTTTAAAAAAATCTGGAATAGCAAAAGGGTGATTAAAACTTTGATTTTAGAAAGTTACAAACGGACTAAGGGCCCAGATAAATTTGAAATGAGATTTTGGAATTAATTATAAGGAATCCTTCCCATTGGAAAATGCTTTTTTTAAAACATTCTTTAAAAAAACTAAAAGGCTTTAAAAATTGGACACTAGCAAGAACTAGATGGAACTAAAGATTACAATTAAAGAAGACCACTCAAACTTGACTTATAATTACACAATGTAGCAAAATATTTTAATATTGAACATACTGAATGATATTTTTGAACAATGGACCCAGAAGTTAATTTTAAGAGTGACTGCCTCATAGATACACTGTGTTTAAAAAATGTTATGGAAAAGGAACAAGTTTTATCTGACATGATTGAGACTGATTTGTAAGTGGATTTAAAAATGACAGGCTAAGAATGATATGGAAAAAGATGTTACACTGGACATACAAAAGAAACCAGCTGATGTTTTAATAATTAAAAACAGGCTAAGAATGATATGGAAAAAGATGTTACACTGGACATACAAAAGAAACCAGCTGATGTTTTAATAATTAAAAACAGGCTAAGAATGATATGGAAAAAGATGTTACACTGGACATACAAAAGAAACCAGCTGATGTTTTAATAATTAAAAGGGATATACAAATAACAAACGAAGAGAATAACCTGGATAATCTTCCTATATTGGATTTACAAAAGAGCCTTGTTAAAACTGAAGAATTTTGTGAGAAGGGACAAAGAAAAAATGAAAA